GTCCTCACTTTGAAAAGAGCCAAAACAAGGTGTTTTGCCAATGTCAAAGATATTATAGGAATGCAAGAAACACCAACACCACTACAGAGTTTATGGTATTCCACGTGAGGTTACAAAATACCCATAATTAAAGAAATAGAGAGCACTTTAAGGGAAACAAATCTTTTTTTATTTTAACCTAGGCGTTTTTACACCCCCAGCGACACAATTTAGATCATTTAGGAGGTGAGTTTCCACCCCTCCTTTCAGGGACAATCTGGGCTGAAATGGATATAACATCCCGGAAGAAGTTTAGTTTTATTAGAGGTTTTACTGCGCTCGCAACTGCATAAGGTCATATGAGCGCCAGAAGATTAGAGGTGTTACAAGAGAGTAACAAACACAAAAAAGAAGAAGGGGAGATTAGGACAATAGATGTTTGAGAGGAAAGAAGCAGCAAACCACACCAGAGCTCATTTCTCCTGCTTATGATGGTGAAGCACTGAATCTACACACTGCAGACGCCGGTTTAAGAGAAAGCATCTACAAGGAGAACAACAAAACCAGAGAAACCCAACCAACCAAACTCATGCAGTCAAAATTCACAGATGCACACAAGGGACAAAAACTGTTAAACGGTACAGTTATTGTCAAAAGTTCTTGAGACACCACACAGAGAAATAAATAGCGCACCATTATCAATAAAAATGAAACACTTTTAGGTAGGCAATAAGGACATGCAAAAACACTGCACAAATTTCACTCATATACACACATTTTAAAAGGTTTGTTTGTAAAAATTACAAATCTCACTCCATACAAAAATGAAATAAGTTAAAAAAAACACAATTTAGGCCAGATCATTCTCAGAGTAAGAAAAGGTGAAGAACCAAGAAAATAACAGACCGATGAGAGGGTGGGAAACACTGAACACCATTGCTGTTCCCCCTTTCTAATTCAACAAAGAGAAATCAAAGCTGAAAACGTGTGCCATAAATAATTTTACTTTGAACTTTGATATTGTTTTGCCCAGTCTAATAAATACATAATAATGTTCAGTGCTTCCACAAGAGAGAAATAAACAGATTAACTATATATATATGGCAATTACATAGGACAGCAACCAAAACAAAACAAAAAATGAGGCATTTACATACGAAAGCAAGCCCGCCAAAACCCAACCCATTATATTCCCATCCTATATTAGAAACCCATTTTTACCCCCAATCATTGTAGATATTCTGTGCCCCACAATTGTAATCATGTAACTGAACTCACATCCTCAATCTGCCAGGCAAACACCGGTAAGTAGTGTGCATGTGAAAAGGGAAAAATACACTTAGTTTATATAATTCACTACATTTTACATCTAACAGAGGGCAGAGACGTTGGTTAGTGATAAAAGTTCTCTCTCTCTCTCTCTCTCTCTCCCTCCCTCTCTCTCTCTCTCTCTCTCCCTCCCTCCCTCCCTCTCTCTCTCTCTCTCTCTCTCTCTCTCCTAGACCTAAAGACCCCTCTCCCAAAATTGCAAAATATCTAAACAGGTGAGATAGAAAAAAAAATAGGAAGAAGGCGAACATTCAATAGTAAGAGTTTACAGCCATTTTCAATTACAGCAATAAATAAGTGATAACAATCTTCACTTTTCAATGTTAAGCAAATGTTGAGCCTTTTAAGTCAGCTTATTAACATATATATCTTATATGGCATACACTGCATTCATCAAATTAATAATCTTTGAAACGACAAAACAACGAATAATAATCTACACATACAAGCTAAACTGGCCAGAAGTTTTCAATCTTGAGTAAAACTCATAGCCATTCTTATGTATACGGCAGTGTATATATATATAAAAGCACTTAATAACAAAGGACTCTGAAATCATTCTTGAGGCAGACAACAGGATAAACATCAGGTTAGGATAGGATATCAAACAATCCCTGCACATCTTAACCCTATCCGTACGCCCTGGGATCATTTTGAACCCCCTATGTTGTATTCTTCACATTTTAGAATACTTTCAGTACGAAGATCTCTTTGAAACTTTCAAGATTTCTAAAAAAATAATTGTGACAGACTGCTATGCAAAGCATACGGATTGGATTAACGAGTAAATTTCCTCTTTGAATGTGGTGGCACAGAGTTCCCCACATCATATGGATACGATAGTAAAACACGACGTACGGATAAGGTAAGACGAAACTCATAACTATCTAAACCATCCAACATCTAAAAGTACACGGTGCGTCAGTTGACGTTCAAGTTCTTTGATGCAGAGTCTTTGGTCAGATGTGCCCCTCCTTACAATTTCATGACACGTGTAGACAGCACTGCAGGTTTTAAGTGATCCGTACACCGCAAGCTTATGCCACATTATCCTCCCAAAAGAAGAGGGGGACGTGTTTCAATAAATAGAGTATTTGCGCCATGATCATTGAGGGGAAAAAAGTCTTTGCGTACATTTCGTTGTGGAAGATGAGACAAAGAACATGTTCATCAATACTGTCTGTAAAAAATGAGAAAATGGCTGTTTGATGAGAATGGTGGGCACCTGGAACAACTTAGACATCTGAGCTTTTACACTTTGAGATTTGTCAAAGATGAAAGGTAGACAATCATTTTGTGATGTGTTTGGTGTTACAAGATTCAATTATTCAATTCGTGCTGGTGAAAAGCAAGATGGACAGACAGAAACAAAGTAAGACAAAAAAGAAGTAGGAGTCATTAGTGTCCTCCTGTCACCAGCATCAAGATGCCATTGACATATATGCTCCAGTGAACAGGGAAATATGTGAAACATCATGGTGAAATCAGGCGCTCCTCAAAATAATGAAATCAAAGATATAGGTATTTCTCTAGGTTGATGGGCAATTTTTTTCTAATTTTCCTTTTTCTGCTCAACCCCATTATGTCCACATAAAAGCATATCTCCATGTGGATTTTACTGAAAAACGTTGATTAAAGGCATAAAATATGTCATTTTTTCCGTTGTCAAGGACTCTTTAGCTATAGGAGTCACCAAATTTTGGCAGCCATTTTCTTGTTAATTTTACAACTGAAACCAGGTGACCCCTTAACTTCTTTCAATCGCAAATATCTTGAATTTTATTCAACACAGACGGGTATATTTTCAGTGAAAGTAAGGCAAACGATTAAGCTTTCAGATGATACCAATAACTCCACATGCCTGAAAATTGAGGAGCCCCTGATTCCACTGTGTCGTGACACATATTGAGCCTGAATAACGGCAACACATACAGGTCAAATTTTTCACAATCAACGAGATTAAACGGTCTTCACATCAGTTCAACAACGGACAGAAATGCTGGAAAAAGCAGTGGGTGTGAGGCCTGCAGCTAAGACCTGAGAATTCATGAATTATTCATAACAAGATAAGCAATGTAGGAAAGGCGAGTATTCTTTGACTTAGTTTGAGACTGTCTTTGGCCACTGCATAGTGTCAATGTTGAGTAAACAACTAACATGGCAACATCTGCATTACTATAAATAAATCACTTAACAAAGGCAATAAATTGACAAAAGTGGGCAGAAGTGGCAAACATACATGGTGTTTCTCTCCACTTATCAAATATTGCACTGAATATAAGCCCAACATAAAAGATGACTGAAGCAAGATATTAAAGCAATTGTGGTTCAAAGATATAACATGATCTACTACAAAAAACGACCAAAAAAACCAATTACGAGTAAAACCTTCATCAATTTCATATGGACTTTTATTTGCCCAAACACTTTTATAAACTACTTGTTCTAAAACTATTTTAATCTTTGAGACTGTCAATTAATTGTAATTTCAGAGCCCAACAATTGATTCAAACAATAAACAAATAATTTGGGATTTTTTACTTGGCACATGACCTAGATCTGCTTTGAAAAAATTCCACCTCCATATAAGCAGCACTACCAAGTGATTTATACAAAAATGTATCCAAATTCAAGTCTTTTATTTTTACGTATATCTGTAAGCTAGGCTGTATTTTACCAAACCTGTGTACTAGTAAACTATTTGATTACAGGATGGCCAGACTAGAAAATAATGACTACTAGGAAGGGATTTCTGAACCCAGTGTGTCAGCAGACTTTGAAGATTCTCCAACTCATGCTTTCCAAGATGGTACTTTCATTCACAGAATCCCATTCATAACCTACATTGTACAAAATGAGATGTAGACCCTCAACAAAAATGGACGTATAAACTAGGTAAAGAATTACCGTTTAAGATTCAAAGCATACAGATTACAGCACTGTGGCATGAGACAAGTCTTTAGATCCAATGATCTAATACTTAATTTCCCTCAAAGAAATATACAGGCTTTATTTACAGTTGGAATGCCTCTTTACTTATATCATCCTGAAATAACACTGTAGGCATTATCCAAAGTGGCAAATGTTAAGAAAGTGAATACGATGCATACCAGTGAGAACACATCCAACGCAAAATTAAAGTACTCCAGACAGAAACACAACGCCGGCCATCTTCTTTTTTTTATTTCGTAAGAGTTTTACGGCACTAGCAACACAATTAGGTCATATAACTGCCGAAGATTGGAGGTGTTACAAGGGAGTAACAAACACAAAAAAGAAGGGGGAGAGATAGAGATATTGGATGTTTGATAGGAAAGAAGAAGCAAACCACACCGGAGCAACCACCAACCACCCACAGGCCATCTTCTGATCAAGTTTTCAGTAAGGATGTCCTCATACTAATACTGACACAACATTTGGGAGGACATCATTCACTTGTAACTCGAAGTACAGTTGTACCAAAAAGCTTTTCTCAACACAGTATAACACGGATAGCTCGAATCCGTCGGGACTGGCCTCGGTAGTTTGAGGGATATCTTACAAAGATAGACAAGAAAAAAAAACCAGGACAGTTGGCACAGTTCGACGGATGCATGATTTCAAGTCTTCTGTGTTCGACCTATCCGTGTTATACTGTACATCTCTCATCCATCAAAATTTCATAAAACTTCCCGAAAGACAGAGTCATTTTCTTTTAGTTACCTTTTTCACTTCCTCTCAAAACCAAAAAAAGAATAATTTAACATATCATATTTAACCAGATATTTTTAAAACCCACAATCACACACACACATAAAGCAATTATGGGAATGTTGGTTTATATCAGGGAGGCGGTACATACATGAGAGTTACATTGTACTTTCTCATTTTCACAACTCATCACTATCTAAAAGCAATCAATCTGTTCTTTCAGATAGAAAGGGGGTAGGCTACCGGTTTTTACAGAGGGGAAAAAAAGGAAGTTTTTCTCCCACCATCCCAGATATGGTTCGGTTCTTGATAAAAAAACACCTGAACAACTTCCAAGAAGAAGGATGACACATCAGTCCTTCACTTTAAAAAAAGACATCAGAAAGTAGATTTGGCTCGATTTATTACCCACAACAGGCATCCTTTCATAACGAGAACAAAGACTTTTGTCATTTAAAAGTTAAAAAATAGAGTTGAATGTATACAATATTAGAGATAACCCCAAATCGAACAGCTGGATGCTAGATTCCGACAAACACCATGAAGCAATTCGACATTTGTTAGAGACTTGCATCCAGCCATTGAATTACAAGCAACAAAAGGACTGGCTATGGTAAGAGCAGTCCTCTTAACTGAAAAAGAACAGTGTAAAAAATGAAAAGTTTCTAAAATCATTGAAAAGCAGATAGTAAAACACTGCAAAATGAATTGCTATTTCTATTTAAAAAATAGATGGAAATCATAAGAGAGGTGCAAATACTTAGGTACTGATAGAGTACATGTCTACTCTCTATAAAGCTACAAGCTGAATGGACAAAGTGGTTCCAGCGGTCTGTATAGATTCTTTTCCCGTTTTTTCTTGAAAAACATCATTGCCGCAAGCTTGTGATTGGAGATAGTAGTTTAAACCATAGCTCCCAGCTCCTGAACAACCAAAGAAGTGATAATATGTGTGGAAGATTTATTCAAACGTGGATCTAAAAAGTTTTGAACTCTTAAAAGACAATATGAAATCACCTCCATAATGCATTAGTAGACCATTAACTCTCAGACATAAAAAACAGGTTAACAAATTTCAGACTTTCAAAGTTGTTGTTTTTTAAATTGCATTCCAGACATCCAAAACTTCATTAACATCACACCACAAAAGAAAATCACCAAAAAGATGTACAAAAACCTCAACACAAAAAAATTAAAGTGGATCTAAATGTCTTGTGTTCAAGCTTAAATACAAATTGAGTTGGTGATTTTCTCAAGTGATCCAACCTCTCGTGGTTTGATTAAATTACATGTTAGACCAGACTTGTATTAAAGCATTCTTTGTATTAAGGGCCTCCAACATCAGTGTTAAAAAGAAAGGCTGGAGTTATACAAAGATATCCATGAACACAATCAGTGCAGACGACAGACAAAACAAATTCCCATTCAAAGCAACAGAACATTACGGTCAACTAGGGAGGAAAATAATACCAATCATTTCCTTTGGATCCGAGATATTCCGTCCACACTTGTGAAAAAGTTGGCAAGAATCTCAGAGACTGAAAATGTTGCAGTGGATCAGAAACGACGGATTCCGGACTAGCCTGACTGATGTTGAGAGACACAAGCTCTCCCTCGGCTACGGCAGTTCTGAGGCTGTGTCTGGACACTATCACCTGGGAGACGGAGCTGGTGATGTCAAACGTGTCACTCTGCAGAAACCCCGTCATCTGGCTGATGTGGGTGTAGTCCAAAAGACCATCGCCATCCACATCACCAACAGCACCTGTGAAAAAAAGGACAAACTATAGTGAAAGTTTGCTTTTTGATTATAATACAAGTCCACAGAGCATGGAAAAGTTTAATTTGATTGTAGAACACTTGTAACACTGTTAAGATAAGATACAGCTTTATTGTCCAGATCCTGGCACAGTGGTTCTCTCTCTCTCTCTCTCTCTCTCTCTCTCTCTCTCTCTCTCTCTCTCACACACACACACACACACACACACACACACACACGCACACATGCATAATATAAATGAACAGCAATATAAACAATAATAATCTTAAGCTAGATACATACTCAATGTTATTCTGATGCATGCTCTAAGGTCATATGAATACTTATAACAAGATGGTTAAGACGGAATACTTTTGATGGATGATGGTAAAAATGACCTTCTATATCTTTCTTTGTTACAGATCAGAAGGCTAGGTCTTCTACTTCTGACTGAAGTTTTTATTTGAGGGAACAAGGAATGTTTGTTGTCTTAAAAGATGGAATTAATTTTTCAGTGAAAGCTGTTAAGTACAATTCATCCAGGTAGAGGAAAGTAGATTTTGAAATTTTACATGCTTTTCGTATTAATCTGTACATAAAAAAACATGTTTTTCACAAGCAGAAAAAACAACTGGGAGGATATTTTTTCCCCCTGCTATAACTGAAGGGCAGTAAACAGATGCAACTCCAGCTAACAATGCAACTCACTGCATGTATTTGATCTATGTTCCTACAAGAGTAGAGTCCCTTTCTTTCAGGTATCTATATGCCACATTCAAAAGTGCTCTTAATGATGAACATAGACAGTTTCTTCGATTTATGGTCGGGATAAATTGCGAATTTTGCTGGGGCAAAGAAAGTGTCGGATTGGAACCCACAACGTAAAAGATCAAGGGGAAGACCACGTGGAACCTGAAGAAGAGTCACTGAAATTGATGTACAGAAAAGTGGGAAGACATGGAGTAACACCAAGCAGATAGCCCAGGATTGGGAAAAGTGAAATGTGTTTGTTCGTGGCCTATATCCTGATCCAGGGTGAGAAAAGAAATGAGGAAGGATGGAAAAGGACAGGCGGTACTCAAGTAGAAACCATAATATTTTATTCAAATATCACGAACCAAAGAAACTTTATTCGTTCATTCATTCATTCACTCATTCTTTACACACCTGTGTAGCTGGAAGGTATCAGCACGGAACATAAGCTCACTTTGTCCTTGTATCGCTCCGACAGGGGGTGACAATGGCGGCTCCCTGGCTTGTGGGGCAATTCTAAGAGAACAAAGCACAGGATGACTCATTTATAATTCCAGGAAAATAAACTAAAATCAGCACTATTTCTTGGAACTTTGAGCTATTGATCTATTTCAAATGGTCAAACTCTCTTAAAGAATCTAATATACATTTTTTTAAAAACATCCTATAATATATCCTATCAATTCTGAGCACATTAATTCACCTTAAATTTAATTTCATCATACCCTTTTTACCCTAACCAATAACACACCTCCTTATATCATCACATTACTTCTCATTTCATTTCATCTCATCACTTCACTTAATATCACATCTCATAACATCCGAACACATATCATCACATCACATTACACAACCCCCACATGTCATCTCAATTGATCAAACTCCCTCTCTCAACAGCTCACCTCATTTCTTTCAATCCACATCTCATCTAATTCTAATGACAGCTTAATAATAATAATAATAATGGATTGCATTTATACAGCGCATATCCACTTATGCAATGCTCTATGCGCTTAACCATGTAACATTACATCTCATTATTCCATGAACACTTTCCGCAATTTATTTTTCATTCAGCCTTACAACAAAATCGAGTCTAAATGGTTAGAGACGGTAACCTGTTTTCGAAGAAAAAATGGCTGTCTTAGGCAGGTGGATGTCATGGGTAGTGTCAATATATAATGTTTTGAAAACGCAAGGGGGGAAGCGGGATATTTAGTTTTAATAAGTGTTTTACGGCACTTGCAACACAATAAAGTCAAATAAGTGCTAAAGATTAGAGGTGTTACAAGAGAGTAACAAACACAAAAAAGAAGGAAGAGAGACAATGACAGATGTTTGACAGGAAAGAAGAAGCAAATCACACCAGAGCACCCGCCAACCACCAACAAGCGGGATGTGATCATTTAAGATAAGATAAAATAAGATTTTAAAGTCCCAGAGGGAAATTTTTCTTGGCTGTGCAGGACCGTAAAAACACATGCAAGTATACAAAAAAAATGTTTAATATATATTACTCTTATTATATTCAATATGAAAGGAAAAGTAAAGCTGACAAATGTACAAATAACATCAGATATATCATTCAACCACATGCAGGAATTTAATTACAAAACCTTTGTACGTCTGATTGGCTGTTGGTAACGGTTCGACACAACTAACTATACTTACGATAGTGATGTCGGAGCGGCTTTTCTTCCAATATTCTCAGAGGAGTTGTTGACGTCAGCCGATCAAAAAGCAAGACTTCTTGCCTGACGGCTGATAAATCTCGATCACAGCTAGGGTGTTTTGATTGCATATCCTGCTCAACTTGAGAGCCTGGCAAATTTATGAAAAAGTTTAACATATTAGAACTCTGTGCATTAAGATATAAAGTCATAAAAAGAATATCATTCGATACATTAGTTGTACTTACGATATCAAGTGGACTTCATGTCATATTTGTTTACCGAAGTAATTCTGCAACAGTCTTACCAGAGATGGGCCTCAGATTCAAAGGTCCCACCTCTTAAATAACATTACAACATCGGTTGCAAGGGGCATTCAACCTCTATATGATTTCACAAGTTTCAAGCTATTCAGTTCAGACAATATGGGCACATTGAAAGATAGACCCAAAATATGAAATGACTCCTACAAACCACCACTGGTAGCTTGCAATAATAACATCACATTCCACGTAACCTTCAAGACGGATCTTTCTCATAGAACAAATAATGATGCTACGTTACAACACAAGTAAAATAATGAATTATGAATTTCCCTAAACTCTATTCACAACAAAATCAGCAGTCTGAAAATACTAAGTTAGCTTAGTTGTGATCTACACAAAGTCAGTGAGACAACAGCCACATTTCACTAGGTACAGACTCACAAAATACAAACACTGAAAAGAAGTGAAGAGCACGGGGACAAACGGGCATAGTCACATACTGGATATAGTGAAAGTGTCAATTTTAAGAGCTTGTGGACCGATAATATCCCATTTTTTGGACTGGTGGTTTGTTGTTTTCTTTACTGAATGGAAAATCAAACACAACAATCAACCAACAGTTGAACAGAAATACGGTTATGAGTCAACAAGCGTTCAAAATTGACTGTTTCAGTTTGTGACAATGCCCGTTTTTTCCCAACTCTTCAAGTAGTAACAATAATAATAATTGCATTTATATAGCGCATATCCATGCTCAAGAGCATGCTCTATGCGCTTTACAACCATTATTACCCCAGCAGACCCTCTGAGAACACTCAGAAACATTCTCAGCTTCCGAGGAAGCATACAGTGCAAGCTGCGGATTTCACGCGCTCAAACACTATCAAACTGACAAGATCTTTCACTGTCTATAGCCGGGTACCTATTTCCACCTGGGTGAAGTGAGGAAAATTTGTGCAAAGTGCCTTTCCCAAAGACACAACGTCAGGCCCCTGATGGGATTCGAACCCACGACCTTACGGTTGCGAGTCCGAGAGCCTAACCACTAGGCCACCGTAACAACCAAATCACAGCACAACTTCTCCCAACCTCACGAGTCACCAGCCTTGTTTGTTTTAGTAGAGGTTTTACGGTGCTCGCAACTGTATAAGGTCATATGAGCGCCAAGACATGGATGTCAACAGAAAAGTCCTTACAGGGAATCAGGCTTACTCTGCTCACCTCTCTAGCTTCAACAGCACAAAAGTCTGTTTTGACTATCAAGGCACCAAGGAAATAGCGGGTCACAAGAGTGTGACAAACATACAAAAGAAGTAGAGGAAAATGACGATAGTAAGGATTAGGAAAGAAAAAGCAGCCGCTCCCTGTGGCAGTTCAGGCACAGTTATGAGCATGACATTGATGATTCAGCTCATTTACAATTACAATTCTACTCTGCATAAGAACATGGTTAATGTCCGCCCTTTGGGTATGGCCTAAAGATACTTCAGTCAGTAGCACGCCTGACAAACAACAGTGCAGGTCTACTATGTGCTCAATGATGAACAACAAACACATTGCACAGAAAGGAGATGATACAATTATTTGAATTGATGGTCTCAAATGGAAAGAAAAGTACAGTTATACGAACAAAGAAATAGTATTTTTAGCATGTCACTACCTCAGAATTACAAGGTTCTATCTGACATTTTTGGCTGTTTTCAGTTACTGAGACCATGAGGTCAGAAACCAAATGTTGTATCTGCTCTACCAAAATCGTAAGATTATTCGGAGTCGATATCAAGATATTCAAAGAATTGCATTCGAAAAAGCTTAGCATGTTGTGAAACTTCAAACTTTTAAAGACAAATTTCTAAAAACTTGGTACTTAGCAGATAGAACTTTGTAAATGCAGGGTACCGATGTGTCAAAGAAACCTACACATAAGTTGAAATTCCTCATCAGTAAAATTGGCATGTAAATCCTCATTGACAGTTTTCTCAGGAGCAAGATGCCTTCTCTGAAAGAAAACAAAAGCATTATTAATCAAAAAGAAAAGGATCTTTCAAAATGTTAGCTTCAAAACATGAGCAAATTACAGCTGTAGCTTCACAGCAAAGACCTCACTTTTTACAGGATTCAATACTGTCTGCATTTCTGAGAACTTTACTTAATGAGATGTAGGACTCGGAACAGCCTGAGGTATCCTTTTCTTTAAACAAGTACGTTCAGTGCAAAGGTAAATCGACAGACGTTCACTTTTAATAGGGCAGAATGGATGAACTTGCAAAGCCTACAATTTTGTCTCATTAATATTTACCTTCTTAATTTCCTCATTGTTGACAAAAAGATACATCATCTAACTTTTATGATAATAAAGAGCATTTATGTTGCACATTTCCACTTTCTAAAAAATGTTCAATGCGCTTTACGTTCATAAACATAGATCGCATTTTAAACATTTATGGACATGCGTGTACGTAAAACATAATATTATGTCTACATGTAAATATGTATAAATAATTTCAATGAGAAAATTAGTCACGCAGTGAGCCTGGCAATGTGTTCACTAAAAAATGTAGAATGCAATAAAAAATCATTAACGGTCACAATAAAACAGAAGCTTGATAGCTACAGACAGAATAAAACATTCGTTCTTTATAAATAGAAAAATATTTTCTTTCTCTCTGCCTCTCTCCCTCTGTCTCTCCCTGTCTCTCTCTGTCTCTCCCTGTCTCTCTGTCTCTTTCTTTCACACACTATTTCTTCAGTCTCACCGTCGGGCATGCACGTATAAAAAAAAAAAAGTAACAGTTCATCGTTATGACAAGTACGCATATTTTTATCCGTCTCCCTTTTAGTAAATGGTTAATAGTTTCTCACCAAAAAAAGGAACAGCATTCACAACTTGCCTTATAATTCAAATCCGTTTCCACTTGCCAGCTTTTGTCCGAGGCATTTCGACCGACAACTTTTACTATGAAAGCATCCAGGTTTTCCACCGATGTACGGAGAGAAAGATCGGAGGAATAAGAGTAGCTGCTGCCCTCAAAAGTCCAGAGCGTGGACCCATCTGTACCGCTCAACACCAGAGTCTGGAGAGTATTAGTGGAACAACAAAAGTCCAATCATGAATGCGTAAGATACAAATAATAATAAAAATAATAATAATAATAATAATATATAACATTTATATAGCACGTTTCCAAAAAAGTAGCTCAATGCGCATATATTACTAGATATTTTGGGACAATGGTAAAGGCTTACACTTTGCTTCTTTAAATATAAATCAGTAGCAATTATTTATGTCTATGTTTAAACAGTAGGCCTATAACAAAAATCAAAAATGACAAACAAACTGTAGATCTATGCAGCTGAAATAAAAATTCATCAATATCCTTCCATTTTACTTTGTTTTGTTAGGAGATAATTTCATTCCAAGTAATCATTTTAGCACATACACTGACAACAGAACACCAAAGAGAAATGTAATTTAACAGCCACAACTATGTACAGAATACACTAATTGTCAGTCCAACTTCAACACTCCAGAATTTAAAACGCAAAATAAAATGATGCAGTTGTATTATTAATATTGTTATTTTTTAAATTATTATTATTATTACTATTACTGTTGTTATTATCAAATTAACTATATCATTATTATCATTATTGACATTATTATCGACATTATTATTATTATTATTATTATTATCACTCTATCATCATTACTTTTATCATTATCACTATTTTTATTGTCATTATTATTATCATTATAATAATTATTATCCTTATTATCATTATTATCATTAGTACGTGTGTGTACCTGTGAACCATTGTAAGTGTCCCATTCCCCCTCATTGAAGTGGACAAGGAAGTCCACCACAGAATCATCGTTGTAAAAGCCAGGACTTGGAGAGCTGGACAGAAAAAAAATAAAACTTTTACCGCAATGAAAACACATTTTGAAATGATGATGATGATGATGATGATGATGATGATGATGATGATGATGACGATGATGATGAGATGATAACAATAATAATGATTTTTTAATAGGAAAATAAAAAATACTGCTTCCCCATGAACATTGTACTCAGGTGCGGAGAGAAAGTTTATTATCAAACAGGTGCAGTGCTTACCTCTCATCTCATACTATCATGTAAGGAAATTCATGAAGGATATGCCTCAGGCAATTCCCTCCAGACCCTACAGTAAGTAGAGGGGACCACCCTAGTCTTTTCAGCCTTTTAAACCTTTGAGGTCTCAGAAGCACATAACACGCATCTTCACTGCATTCCATTCAGGCTGAAATCAGGCGCTCATTATAGTAATGAAATCAAAGAAACAGGCATCTTTCAGTTTGTTGGGAAATTTTTATCGATTTTTTATTTTTTGGCTCAATCCCTTGTATGTCCATTTAAAAACACATTTAAGTGTGATTTTTACAGAGAAACAGCGGTCAAAGGCTCAAAAAATGTAAATCTGCCGAGTCCAAAGACTCTCAAACCGTGGAAGTCACCAAATTTTGGCAACATCTTTTTCACTTGTTTTACCTCTGAAGCCAGGCAACCCATACCTCCTTTAATCACAAATATCTCGACTTATATTCAAGATATATCACTACTTTTTAAAAACTAAAGCAAGACAAACGAACAAGCTTTAAGATGATACCCATAAATCTACATGCTCCAAAATTGACGAGCGGCCGATTCCACCGCGTCGTGACACATATATAAAGGTATAGTTAACTTACCTGTAGGTCTCCATGCCTGTGAAATGAACAGCCCATGTCGTTGTGAGGGAACTCCCGTCTATCAACGCCACTTCCCCGCTAAATGTGGTCACCAAAATGTCAGGCTGCTCGTCATTGTTGACATCAACCAAAACCGGGGGGACCATTACTCCCTTTGTTTTATCACTGAAATAAAAACAGGAAATCAAAACAAATTCATTCAGTTTAAAGATTATAATAGTAAGCAATACATCTAAAAAAAAAAAAGAATTCTTGAGCTTCATAGAGCTAAAATTTATAGTTTCAATCATTTTTGTAAATGATCAAAGCTCAAAGGTGACAGTCAACTTCGCTTCCAACGGTTTGCAAAAAGTTCTGAAAATTCTTATGTCAGTATTGAAAGCATAATGAAGCAGCTGTACCAGATGCCAAACACATCGACATATTTCACAAATGGTTGCTGTCATGTTTGAGTAATAAATAGCATTTGTATAGCGCATATCCCCACTCAACAGCAAGCTCTATGCGCTTTACACTATATTATTACCTCAGCAGACCATAGGACACTCAGAAACATTCTAAGCTTCTCGGGAAGCGTACAGCTGATAAAGCACTGAAACACATGTGTCTTTTCAATTCATCAAAGCCTCACCTGTATAAGACAGAGATTCCTCTTTCATCCACATCCTTCAGCCAGGTGTACAAAGACAGGTCTACATTTGGCATAGGATTTCCTCCGGATACAATCTTATATAGATCCGGGACAGAAATTGCCATTAAATTACCTAATGAAAGATAAAAAAGTATCTATATAAGTCAAGCAGAGATAAATGATTGAAAAAAAACTCAAAGTGAAGCATAGTGGAAAAATGGGTTACTTCTAGGATTCAAGCTCTATGGAAGTAGAAATAAATACATCACTCTTATAGGTGAAGTTTTTACAATTTATAAGTATGACATAATAACGATGTTATACTTAAAGAATATGGCATCAATAGAAAATCTACAAATTCGACTCTAATGTCGATTTTTGGCCAATATTTCCATTTGTCGAAGCGAAAAGTAACTCAATTGGCTGCACGTTTCACAAATGTCATTCATCATTGAGCCATGTTCACAGTAGCACCTAACAAACTTCCTAAAGACATTCTAAGCCTCTCTCCACCCGACCCAATTAACTCCTTATCTCCGGCAAACAGCTCCGAACAGCTTGCGGTCAGAACCGTTGTGCTGGTGAGCCACTGTCAGTGGCTCGGGCACATTCCTTTACAATGACTTCAACATCAAATTACTTGGCGGCAATTGCTGAAAACGGGTCTCTTTTACCGGGAGTTCATTCATTAGATTAATAACTATCAAAATGGATTTACTTGTTTTGATTTAATTACCAATTTAGAGACGTATATGTCAATTTGAGATTTTGTACCACCACAGGGTGCAGCATAGTGGGTTTACCCCCCTTGGAGAAAAAAAATTAAAAACATCTATTCAGAGAAATACATCTAATTAGCAATCAGTAGGAGCCTCTGTTGAATGCAGGGGAGGGGGGGGGGGGGGGGGGGGGACGTTGAGCGTCTGAATTATGGCCATTAGAAAAAAATGACAATGTTCCAAATTCAAAATTCAAGATTTTAAGCCAAATAATATTAAAACAAATCTAAATTATAAAGCGATTTTATTCTAAGGCAAAAAAGTTCTTGCAGTCGTAGCATCAGACCTATGAAACTAATTTCAAAGTCCCTTTTCCGTTTTTTCTTTTTAATTTTTCAAACTTATTAAGTGTGATCAAATTCTTACATTGGGCACAAACCTATATTATAAATACACAAATTGATATGCATAATTTAATTTTATGTATACATGTATGTGTTTTTACGGTTCTATACAGCCAAGAAAAATTTCCCTCTGGGACAATAAAATTTTGTTTATCTTATATTATCGTATCTTATCTTATAAGGTAAAAATCCCTAGTAACAAGTCACACGGTACCTGGCATTGTTTCCCCTCCAGAGCCAAAGAGGATATAAATAGCTCCCGTGTCTGCTACGTACTTCACCGGAGGCATGTACGTTTCCTGGTTCGGCGGAAGCTCCAGATAGTAGGCACCAATGGGAGTACCGGATCTGCCAGACAGAATGATGAGCCGTCCTGCTGCTCTCTCATGATCCTATAGGAATAAAACAAAACATCTTAAATAAAGAAAACAAACTAGAAGACAAGCTAGAAAGGACAAGGGCAGTAGGAAGGCACAGACTACTATGGACAAACAACCTAAAGTCATGAACAGCCCAATCACCGGAACAGTGCAGCAGGTAGCTGACAACCATAGTGACTGACGGAGCATAGCACATCAATTTGAGGTCTCTGAAGCAGAGAAGACACCTCCAACCAACCAATCAAACAACCAACCTACCATCCCACCGACCAAACAACCAACCAACCAACCAATTAACCTGCCAACCAACCGACCAAACTACCAACAACCAACCACCGACCAAACAACCAAGACAAGGACAATTTCACTAGGAAAAGATAGGACAATAGCACCACAGAAAAGTAAGAAGCACATATCAAAATGGCCAGCAACTATCAGCATTTCCGACACAAAAACAACTGCCATCCTCACCCACGGTTCTTTGTCCTTGTCTCCACCGTGGGAAAGAACAATATCCAGAGTACCATCCAGATCCACGTCGGGGATGGTCACTGCCTGGTAGACGTTCCAGTCGGGAACAAAATGTGAGGACCACGTCACCGAGTCTGGGTCAATCACCCACAGCAGTTTGCCTAAAAGGAGAATATCAACAAATGCAAAGTAAGCCATTCAGTCAGAGATGCTAAATGTGAAAAGAAAAAGTATATGTACACGTTTGCCTCTAAGACAAAATATAAAACGTAAAGAGGTCCAGGAATCAACCAATACAAAGAAATAAAATAAAATTTGACAATATTTCTGAGTTTAACACTTTCCACCCACGCAGCGTTCAGAGCGCGCAACACTTATCCCCACGGACCAGGATACAGGTGCGGTACACGCTATATCACACCGGCGTCCTGTGGGGAAAAGAGACGGCTTCTTACCGTTTCCGATCGGCGTCCCCTGGGAACAAAGTGTTAAAACAAACACATTCTTGGTGTTTTAGCATGAAAAGACATTTTGTTCTAACGGAAATCTATGAAGAGCAGAAGTACACTCACTGAAATCAATTAAACCAAACAGGTTTATCTTAGGTAACTTTTATTTTTCCATCCTCTGCTGCCGTTAAGCATCGAAGGGAGATGCAGTTTTCTATGGCAGGCCAACTCCGCAGCTCTTTCAATTGGGATATTTTAAATTCCTCAGAGTTTCCTTGACTTTCTCAATCCACCTTTTGCGTGTCCATTATGCTCCTCCCAATTGATCTTCATACAGATATATTCAATCACATGGAAGTCCAGCCTCATAATATTCTCATTTTGAATGAAATATATACAGACATTTTACAACAAATACTATACTCCTCCCAACAACAGCTATTACTATATTTCTTCCTATTGAAGTCTAAACAGCCAATATGCTTATTTCAAATGAAGTCTTAACAGTTAATAGTTATACTCTTCCTAGTTAAAAATCTACACAGATGATTAACTTATTTCAGTTGAAATCTTGACAATTATACTCTTCCCAGTTGAAGTGTAAACAAATAAATTACTTGTTTCTGTCGGAATTTTTACAATTATACTCTTCCTGTCGAAATGTTTACAGTTATACTCTTCCCAATTGAAGTGTAAACAGATAATTTAATGGCTTCTGCAGGAATCTTGACAACTATAATCTTCCCAATTGAAGACGTGTAAACATAATTTCCTTGTTTCTGTCGAAATCTTTACAGTTATACTTCTTTACAGTTATACTTCTTTACAGTCTTCTTTACAGTCTTCTTTACAGTCATACTTCTTTACAGTTATACTTCTTTACAGTCTTCTTTACAGTCATCTTTACAGTTATACTTCTTTACAGTCATACTTCTTTACAGTCATACTTCTTTACAGTTATACTTCTTTACAGTCTTCTTTACAGTCATCTTTACAGTTATACTTCTTTACAGTCATACTTCTTTCCAGTCTTCTTTACAGTTATACTTCTTTACAGTCATACTTCTTTACAGTTATACTTCTTTACAGTCTTCTTTACAGTCATCTTTACAGTTATACTTCTTTACAGTCATACTTCTTTCCAGTCTTCTTTACAGTTATACTTCTTTACAGTCATACTTCTTTACAGTCATACTTCTTTACAGTTATACTTCTTTCCATCTTCTTTACAGTTATACTTCTTTACAGTTATACTTCTCTACAGTCATACTTTTTTACAGTCATACTTCTTTACAGTCTTCTTTACAGTTATACTTCTTTACAGTTATACTTCTTTACAGTTATACTTCTTTACAGTTATACTTCTTTCCAGTCATACTTCTTTACAGTCTTCTTTACAGTTATACTTCTTTACAGTTATACTTCTTTACAGAAATACTTCTTTACAGTCATACTTCTTTACAGTCTTCTTTACAGTCATACTTCTTTACAGTTATACTTCTTTACAGTTATACTTCTTTACAGTTATACTTCTTTCCAGTCATACTTCTTTACAGTCTTCTTTACAGTTATACTTCTTTACAGTTATACTTCTTTACAGAAATACTTCTTTACAGTCATACTTCTTTACAGTCTTCTTTACAGTCATACTTCTTTACAGTTATACTTCTTTACAGTTATACTTCTTTACAGTCATACTTCTTTACAGTCATACTTCTTTCCAGTCATACTTCTTTCCAGTCATACTTCTTTCCAGTCTTCTTTACAGTTATACTTCTTTACAGTTATACTTCTTTACAGTCATACTTCTTTCCAGTCATACTTCTTTCCAGTCTTCTTTACAGTCATACTTCTTTACAGTCATACTTCTTTACAGTCATACTTCTTTACAGTTATACTTCTTTACAGTCATACTTCTTTACAGTCATACTTCTTTCCAGTCATACTTCTTTCCAGTCATACTTCTTTCCAGTCTTCTTTACAGTTATACTTCTTTACAGTTATACTTCTTTACAGTTATACTTCTTTACAGTTATACTTCTTTCCAGTCATACTTCTTTACAGTCTTCTTTACAGTTATACTTCTTTACAGTTATACTTCTTTACAGAAATACTTCTTTACAGTCATACTTCTTTACAGTCTTCTTTACAGTCATACTTCTTTACAGTTATACTTCTTTACAGTTATACTTCTTTACAGTCATACTTCTTTCCAGTCATACTTCTTTACAGTCATACTTCTTTCCAGTCTTCTTTACAGTCATACTTCTTTACAGTCATACTTCTTTACAGTCATACTTCTTTACAGTTATACTTCTTTACAGTTATACTTCTTTACAGTTATGTTTTTTTACAGTTATATTCTTTACAGTAATATTTATTTACAGTTATACTCTTCCCAGTTGATCCAGATTGAACTCTCACCTGTTTGGAGGTCCACAGCCTGACACGTGGAGTGCCGCCCCGTGACCAGACAATCATTGGCCTCGTCTCCGTTGACGTCAATGTCAGCACAGCTGTGGTGTATCACCACCGAGCGAGTGGCTGTCCTCCACAGCTCCTTCCCATCGTAGCCGCGTAGCGCAACCAAATGACCTCCACATGGGTACTCAGTGCCTTAAGAAAAACATACGGAAAGACTGATGCTCTTATACAAAAATGTATAATAAGCAGAGTCACTTCAACATGAACTAGTACTTAATAAACTTTCCTTAATTACAATAAAGAATAAAGGAGAAGAAGTGTAACAAATCAACTAACAATGAAGAAAAATGAAGAAATATTTCGTCATCTGAGTCTTATATAGCTACAGTGCAACATGCAAAAACATAATATACCATCTATGACACAAGAGAAGCCACAAAAAATTCCTCATTTGAAAGTGTCTGTATTGAAGAAACAGTTATCGCTCGCCAAATTAAATTCCATGCTTATAAAAATTATCCATGTTTTCTACACAAAAATTGTCCAACATTAATTTCTACGAATAAACCCCTGTAGTAAGCGCTCGTCTCCGAAGTGGACAGTCCAGGTTCGAACCTCAGTTCGGACACGGATTTTTTTTTCGACCCCCCCCCCTCCAGCAGTAATGGGTACCTGACTTCGAGTGGGGGAAGTATAGGCGGCGTGGAAAGGAACTTGCCACCCTACCACAATATGCCGAAGGCCCAGGAAGTTATCTTACAAACAAGGCAATCCCCAATGTCCGGATCAGAAGTGGAAACAACTTTTAGTAAGGACTAATCATTGCACTAGCCCTCAGGGCTTTCTATTTTTCCTTTATTATTATATTATCACACTACTGAACTGTAAAAAAAAAACTGTTATCAGTTTTTTTGCTGAAAATGTTTTTTGTTCACATGTTGAATTTTATACCTTTCAAGGCACAATGCTTCTTCATCGCGACATCCGAGGGTTTCTTTAGCAAGGACAGTATCGCACTTTGATCTGCTACACCAATCAGGATGTCATCTGCTCCATCGCCATTCACATCCATCTGTCTGATGTTCGACTCTGTCCCTGAATCAGATCGGAAAAAAAGATGTGGTGTCCTCTTTCAGGAAATATCTGTTTTCCTGGCAATACAACAGAGAAGCATATACAGAACAAACAATCGATCAAAGGGATCAAACTTCAATGAAGGTGCCTTTTTGGGGGAGTTTTTTCTATTTCCTGAAAGAAGGATAGTTATTCCTCTATAATCGTAAAGGAAATATGCTACTTGCAGCCAGTAAAAAAGATGAAGACAGTAATGGAAATCTCTCCACAATCACAATATGCTCACCAAAAAAAAAAATTTGACTGGACCTAACAAGTAACAGAAAAGTAGTCTGATGTCTGTTAACACTACACAAAGCTCATTCAAACTAAACAAGGAATAAAAGGTAAGAAATTCTCTGCTACCTCCATGACATTTGAATATTCTTTATAGAAAACAGCTGTACGTTAACGAAATACTATACCTTTTGTCAACAATGTAAAAATCACCAGCTGAAAGCCATGAAAACATAAACTTTCAGGATTTTTCCTTCATTACTAAATTCATCAGAGGCCTTATTTCAATTATCCATATTATTTTTATTTCTTTTGAGCAAAACTAAAAATTATTAAAATTCATTTCTAAAGGAAGAAAACGAACAAAAACACAAGAGAGTTCACCAAACACAACCCCTGAAACTACAGAAATAACGCGGATTTCATCCAACAAAACTAACAAGAATCTTTGAAGGCCCTGGTCCAGTCCTGTGAGTTGTGGCCTGCAGAGATGTCCATGACCTTGCCGTGGTTGAACGCGTGGTTGAGCAGGGGGAACAACACGGCAGCGAGAGCGCCCAGGATGATGACCATGAGCACGGTGACCAGAACACACGTCCTCCGACTACTCCCCTGCAGATACCAAATCAAAATGCTTCAAAATAGTTTAGTTTTAGTAAGTGTTTTACAGCACTTGCAACACAATAAGGTCATATAGGTGCCGAAGGCTAGAGGTGTTACAAAAGAGTAACAAACACAAAAAAGAAGGAGGGGAGATAAAAAGACGACAGATGTTTGATAGGAATGAAGAAGCAAACCACACCAGAGCACCCGCCAACCACCCACTACTTCAAAATAAAAAACAGAAGGGTGAATAAAAGTCAAGTCACCGGCACCAACAAGCATTGGAAAATTAACAAAGACAATGACAATATTTATTTATCTCAAGACAAATTTCTCCCTGTGAAAGGAATAAAGATTGTCATTGTCATTGTCAATTCTCCAAATTCTCAATCTCATAGAAAAAAAAACCCCAGAAAAATAAACAGAAATGAACTCTATCACTGGCATTACAACTATCAGAAATAGTTAAAATACAAATGAGATCAACTTAAATATTCATTGGTTTTCCACACTGTCAACACTGAACTGAATTCTCCTTTATCACCAACTTTTAAAAAGTACAAAGTCACATTTCTCACAAGTATCAGTATGTGTCTGAATAAAGACAAAAAAACATCAACTCAACAACAGGCAGGGAAAAACGTGCGCTCTCACACACACACACACACGCACACGCACACGCACACACACACAGAGAGAGACACACACACACACACACACACACACACACACACACACACACACACACAGAGTTAGAACCACAACTTACAGCGTACTGCACACTGGTGGAAGACCTACTAGACCTAGGGTGGCCCAGTCTCTCCAGCTCAAACACATTCCTTCTGTCCATGGTGGGCCCGTTGACTAGCCGCGAGTCGTAGAGAACGTTGTCGTCAAAACCTTCGTCCTCCTCGTCACTGGCCGTCCACTGGGACAGCGGCTGGTACTTGACAGACGGTGAGCTGCTCATCTTGGCCTGGAATTAACAAACAAAATTTTAAATATGTAAGAAGAAAATAAAAAAATCTCTTGCTATTCCAAGGACCGAAACTGGTACTTCTTGACTACAGCTCAACCCCGACCCTCAGGATAAAAAAAAAAAAAAAGACAGCCGGTGAGCTGCTCATCTTGCTTGCCCTGAATTAACAAACAAATATGTAAATAGTTTGGGGGTTTTTTGTACTTTAAAAAAAACAAAAAAACACCAGTTGTTTCATGTGAGTAAAAAACATCCACTAGGACAGTGGCTGATATTTGACAGCCGGTGAGCTGCTCATCTTGGTCTGGAATTAACAAACAAATGTGAGGCAGCGTGGCGAAATCAGGCTCTTGTCAAAATAATCAAAGTGAAGAAACTTTCATTTTTCTACAGGTTTGTGAATTTTCATCAAATTTTTGTTTTTTGTCTCAACACCTTTCATGCCCGTTAAAGAGCTCATTTCTGTGAGGATTTTTCTGAAAAACGTTGATTAAAGGCACAAAAAATGTAAATTTTCAGTTACCACGGACTCTAAAGCTGAGGAAATAACTACTCTTTGGCAGTCATATTCTCACTAATTTTACCTCTAAAATCAGGTGACCCCCACCTCCTTCATTCGCAAATATCTCGACTTGTATTAAAGATAAATGGATATTTTTTTCATCCAAATAAAGACAAGTAAACGAGCTTAAAGATGATACCAATAACTCTACATGCCCAAAAATTGACAAGAGCCTGATTCCACCACGCTGCATCACAAATATGTAAGAAGAAATAAAAAATATCTTGCTATTCCAAGGACCGAAACTGGTACTTCTTGACTACAGCTCAACCCCGACCCTCAGGATTAAAAAAAATTTTTCTAAAAGACAGCCGGTGAGCTGCTCATCTTGCTTGCCCTGGAATTAACAAACAAATATGTAAATAGTTTGGGTTTTTTTTGTACTTTAAAAAAACCCCAAAAACACCAGTTGTTTCATGTGAATAAAAAACATCCACTAGGACAATGGCTGATATTTGACAGAGAGAGAGAGGGGGGGGAGGGACAGAGAGAGATAGAGAGAGAGAGATACAGAGAGAGGGACAGAGAGAGGGACAGAGAGAGGGACAGAGAGAGGGGAGAGAGAGAGGGACAGAGAGAGGGACAGAGAGAGGGACAGAGAGAGGGACAGAGAGAGGGGAGAGAGAGAGGGACAGAGAGAGGGACAGAGAGAGGGACAGAGAGAGGGACAGAGAGAGGGGAAAGAGAGAGGGAGAGAGAGAGAGAGAGATGGAGAGACAGACGGAGAGAGAGAGGGGGGAGAGAGAGAGGGGGAGAGAAAGAGAGAGACAGGGAGA